CTCCCAGTAGACTCGCAGCTGCCTCTCTGTCCTGCAGCTACAAGCTCTCCTGCCAGCTGGAACCCCCCTCCCACTCGGTCGGCGACACCCTCAAGGCAAAGAAGAGCAGGCCCAAGGAAGCCAGGCAGCCACAACTGCGTTCCCAGCTCCACCTCCGACCAGCCCTGTGACTGGGGCAAGCTGATCACAGCTCTGGGTCTCGAGGCAACATTCTCCTAAATTTAATTGTAATAAATTCCAACCCCTTTTCAGTTTTACCTGTTGGAGTGGATTGAATTATTTCCCCCCCCCAAAAAAAAACTCATTTAAGCTTGAAATGTGTCCCCTAGTTTTATGTATTAGAAACTTAGTCCACCCCTGGGACTGTTAAGAGGGTGGGAAATCAGATTACAGTAATATGAAAGGTGGAAACCTTGAAGAGGTGGCTGGATTGTAGGACCTTGCAGTAGTGAATGGATGAAAAATGGTGGTCGGGGGTGTGGTTCTGAGGGCATCAAGAAGAAGAGAGTCTGCCTTTCTCTCTCTCTCTCTGCTCCCACCATCATGCAATGTGAGACCCCCGAGTCACTGTCACCACCACCAAATGGCCTTTAGACTTCCCAGCCTCAGAAACTGTGAGAAATAAATGTCATTTTTCTTCACACATCACCCAGTATCAGGTATTCTCTTATAGCAACACCAAACGGACTAACACACCTATCTTTACCTGGAATCACAGGAGTGTTGTCTTTGTTGGTGTTTTCATTAAAGTCAATATAGTCACGTTGCATGTTGGACATCCTTCAATATTTTGTTTTACTACGTGTATTCTTTGGAGATGGTGCCCTATGAACACAGATAGAATAAGTACTTGCATTTCGATGTGACAACCAGCTCCAGCAGCGCACACATGCCACGATTTGTCTTTCCTGCTGAACCGACAGAAGAGCTCTTTCTAGCTGAAAGCTACTGCAAAGCTTGCTGCACCGATAACAGTTCCATGGAGCTGCATTTTCTCTTCTCTATAGATTCTCAGGGTCTAATCCCCTAAGGGAGAACTGGCAGATCATTTGGTGCTCGGTTTTAAAATATTGTCTCACTCCACATCTTCCCACGTTTACTTGTAGGGGTTGGAAAATTTAGATTTTTCAGCATTCTGTGGACACACACGTGTTTCCTTCTCTGAAGTGTGTCCATATGCATGGTTCTTTGTCACCTCCGTCTAGTTAAATGCACCAGTCCCTCAACAACTCTCTTCCAATGTCAGTACCACAGGCCAGGATCCATGAGCGAACACCTCAAGTGCTACTGTACAAACTCAGGGCTCTCCCATCGGCCCACAGTCCCTACACACACAACAGATGGGCGGCATCATCAGCGTCCAGTCACGTCCCTCCTTTCAAAGTCTGTTTGTCAAGGGGTGGCTGGGCATCTGTTCCCTACTACACGCACAGACAGCAGCTTGTGTAGCTGTGNGTTGGTGTTTTCATTAAAGTCAATATAGTCACGTTGCATGTTGTGCATCCTTCAATATTTAATTTTACTACATGTATTCTTTGGAGATGTTGCCCTATGAACACAGATAGAATAAGTACTTGGGTTTCAACGTGACAACGAGCTCCAGCAGCGCACACACGCCACGATTTGTCTTTCCTGCTGAACCGACAGAAGAGCTCTTTCTAGCTGAAAGCTACTGCAAAGCTGTCTGCACCGATAGCAGTTGCGTGGAGCTGCATTTTCTCTTCTCTATAGATTCTCAGGGTCTAATCCCCTAAGGGAGAACTGGCAGATCATTTGGTGCTCGGTTTTAAAATATTGTCTCACTCCACATCTTCCCACGTTTACTTGGAGGGGTTAGAAAATTTAGAGTTTTCAGCATTCTGTGGACACACACGTGTTTCCTTCCCTGAAGTGTGTCCATATGCATGGTTCTTTGTCACCTCCGTCTAGTTAAATGCACCAGTCCCTCAACAACACTGTTCCAATGTCAGTACCACAGGCCAGGAACCGTGAGCGAACACCTCAAGTGCTACTGTACAAACTCAGGGCTCTCCCGTCGGCCCACAGTCCCTCCACACACCACAGATGGGCGTCGTCATCAGTGTCCAGTCACGTCCCTCCTTCCAAAGTCTGTTTGGCACGGGGTGGCTGGGCATCTGTTCCCTACTACACGCACAGACAGCAGCTCGTGTGGCTGTGTTGCCTCCCGGACTCACACTGATAAGCCATGTGGCAGTTAACAGAGACCGACACTCACTCAGGAAAGGGAATTTGCCAAGAAAGATGAGAGTGCAACAAAGAAACAAGAAGTGTTGATGCTGGGAAGGAAACTGGAATCAAATGTAAACAGAGGTGGGAAAAGTGGGCAACTGTGAGAATCTTGACACTTCTGCCATTGCAAAGACTCCCACTACTCGGCCACAGTGACGGTGACCTTACAGACACAAATAAGGGAACTTGTAAAAGGAACAGATAGCTCAGAAATAGTTATGCCAGTAACACTGCACATTCAAGGGAGTCCCAGACGTATTTCACCGCCTTGAAAGTTCAAACAGTAAAATACTGGAAGCTCGTATGGTCATTCTTATAGTTCTGCACTACCACGCCAAGCAAAGACTGCCCGCATGTGTGTATATTTGCAGATGGGGTGTAGCAGTGCTTCTCGGCTGGGGCAGTTTTGCCTCCCACAAGACATTTTGTAACACCCGTGGAGATATTTCTAGTTTTCACCTGAAGGTTTCCACTGGCGTCTAGTTGGTAGCTACCATCATCTAGAAGTCATCATGCTAAGTGACACAAGCCAGGCACAGAAAGTCATGCTGCATGATTTCACTTGAATGTGGAAACTAGAAAGGTCAACCTCATGGAACTAGAGACCAGAATGTTGGTCAGCAGAGTTTGGGAGCTGAGGGAGGGGGGAAGATTGGGGGAACAAGGACAAAGGGAAGTTTGACCAATGAGTACAAAGTTTCACTTTGGAGATATAAGGTCTGGTGATCTATTACACAGGAAGGTGACTATAGTTAATAAGAATGTATATTCCAGAATTACCAAAAGAGTAGATTATCAGTGTTCTCACCAGAAGGGAGGAACTATATGAGGTCACGAATATGTTATTTACCTAACTTGCTCACTGCACAACGTACACATGTATGCAGTTATGACATGGTGCCCCATAAACATATGCAGTTGCTAGCTGCCAAAAAAAGTAAAAATTAAAGTCAAATAAAAAGAAACGCAGTGCAGCGCTGGCATCAAGTGTACATCGGAGGATCAGAACTGACGGTCTAATAGCAAGTTCATACAGCTATGACAACTGGATTTTCACCAGTGTTTTGTGACCACAACCAATGGTGCTGAGACAACTGAATAGCCACATGGAAAAAAATGAAATCGAACCCCTTTCTAACCCCATACCGAAAAGTGAACTCCAAATGTGTCACAGAGCTAACTGTAAGAATTAAAACTACGGCACTCGTGAAACACAGGAATAAACCGTTGTGATGCTGGATTTGGTGATGGTCTCTTAGGTAAGATGCCAAAAACACAAGAACCCATATAAAGAACGAGTAAACTGGACATCACCCAAAGTAAAGACTGCTGTGCGTAAAAGGACACCGTTGAGAAAATGAAAAGACATCAGCTGCACAGGGAAAAAAACATTTTCAATTCCTAGATTAAGAACAAGACTATAGAAAGAGCTCCTACAACCAGCATATCCAAAAGACAATTAGCCCAATTTTTAAAATGGTCAAAGGAAGAGTCGTCCAGTTAGCTCTGTTGGTTAGAGTGTGGTGTTCTAATACCAAGAGCAAGGGTCAGGATCCCNGAAGTCATCATGCTAAGTGACACAAGCCAGGCACAGAAAGTCATGCTGCATGATTTCACTTTAATGTGGAAACTAGAAAGGTCAACCTCATGGAACTAGAGACCAGAATGTTGGTCAGCAGAGTCTGGGAGCTGAGGGCAGGGGGAAGGATGGGGGAACAAGGACAAAGGGAAGTTTGACCAATGAGTACAAAGTTTCACTTTGGAGATATAAGGTCTGGTGATCTATTACACAGGAAGGTGACTATAGTTAATAAGAATGTATATTCCAGAATTACCAAAAGAGTAGATTATCAGTGTTCTCACCAGAAGGGAGCAACTATATGAGATCACGAATATGTTATTTACCTAACTTGCTCACTGCACAACGTACACATGTATGCAGTTATGACATGGTGCCCCATAAACATATGCAGTTGCTAGCTGCCAAAAAAATTAAAAATTAAAGTCAAATAAAAAGAAATGCAGTGCAGTGCTGGCATCAAGTGTACATCGGAGGATCAGAACTGACGGTCTAATAGCAAGTTCATACAGCNTCGATCTAAGTAAACTCATCAGACCACGCACATTGATCTAAGTAAACTCATCACACCAAGCTCATCGATCTAAGTAATCTCATCAGACCAGGCTAATCAATCTAAGTAAACTCATCGGACAGAGCTAATTGATCTATGTAAACTCATCATACCAAGCTCATCAATCTAAGTTAACTCACCAGACCAAGCT